GGCTTGCAGGGAATGGACATAGTACCTCCTAGACTTTTTTTTTTAGTTATGCAGTTTTGGTGCTGGGTTAGTTATCTATCTAATTTTGTTTTGTTTTGTCTGAAATGGAGTTTCGCTCTTGTTGCCCAGGCTGGAGTGCAATGGTGCGATCTCAGCTCACTGCAACCTCCGCCTCCAGGGTTCAAGAGATTCTCCGGCGGACAGCGGAGATCACACCACTGCCCTCCAGCCTGGGCAACAGAGCAAGACTCCATCTAAAAAAAAAAAAGAGAGAGAGATTCTCCCACCTCAGCCTCCCAAGTAGCTAGGACTACAGGCCACCACCACCACGCCCAGCTAATTTTTGTATTTTTAGTAGAGATGGGGTTTCACCATATTGGCCAGGCTGGTTTCAAACTCCTGACCTCAGGTGATCCACCTGCCTCAGCCTCCCAAAGTGCTGCGATTACAGGCGTGAGCCACCGCGCCTGGCCTTAATTTTTTAATTCTATAATTACCACAAACCCCTTAGTATTAAGCTCCGAGACATATTTTTGTCATACCTTTATTGCTTATCATAATTTTCTATCTTTAGATGTTAAGTATTTGTTGAAAATCCCATGAAAAGTTTTCAGAAATTAGATTGGATTTCTTGTTTATTATACATCCCTTGACTATTTTGTAATCGTGTGTATTTGCGGAGGTCACATGTAAACAAATTTAAAGTGACTCTACTTTGTGAAAACGTGCAACCTCGTGTAGGTACTCAGTAAATTAGTAAATTCTTATTAACGTTAGCCCCCCAGCCTGGCTATAGAGTGTGCATGCTGAGCCCGAAGCAGAGAGCTCTGTCATCGCTGCATTCATCACCACCACACCAGGAGGCCTGAGAAGCTTCTAGCACTGTTTGCACCTTCCCCACCACATCACCCCTCCCTGCCTTCCTCAGTCTTCCTTCTGATGAGAAGACCCTTTCCTTCTTTCTCTGCCTGTCAGAATGCTGCTCACTCTTCAAACCCTAGCTCATATGAAAGTGTCTGGTGTGAGCCCACTTTTTTCGAATTGATTCTGTATCTTTGATACAACTGTATGAGGGTTCTTCAGAGAAACAACCAATAGAGGGGAGAGATGTAAGAAATTGGTTTAAAGGTTGAAATGCTAATCTCATCCAAAAACTCCCTTAGAGACACACCCAGAAATAATGCTTAACCATGTATCTGAGCACCTCGTGGTATGTCAAGTTGACATACAAAATTAACCATCGCAGCAGCCATACATTTAAACATATTTGTACTAGAGAACTTACCTGATTCTACCTGCACTTCAGATGCTTAAGACATGTCTGTTTTCTCCACTTTCCCCAACCAGATTGTGAGTCACTTTCATCTAAGTTCTTGGTTTTTTTGTTTGTTTTTGAGACGGAGTCTCGTTCTGTCACCAGGCTGGAGTGCAGTGGTGTGACCTTGGCTCACTGCAACCTCCACCTCCCGGGTTCAAGCGATTCTCCTGCCTCAGCCTCCCGAGTAGCTGGGACCACAGGTGTGTGCCACCATGCCCGACCCTGGTCTTGTTTTTTCCTTCTTTGAATCCCGTAGGGCCTCAGTGCTGTGCAGCACATAGTTAAAACTGAAAAACATTTCTTGAATAAAACTAGTTAACGTTTTTATTCTTTACTTCAAGGTGTATCTCCATGAATAACCTCAATGATCCCCCAAACTGGAATATCCGGCCTAATTCCAGGGCGGATGGTGGTGATGGAAGCAGATGGAATTATGCCCTGTTGGGTCCAAAGCTGGGACTGGCTGCTTTTCGTAAGTCATGGTTTTCTTAAAATTCATGTTTTCCAGGCTGAGAGTGTGGAGCCCCGGTGAGGGAGGCAGCATGATGTGGGAGCCTGAAGGCCGTGACTTTGGGACCTGTCAGGGACAGCCGAGTTTTATCCCATGCAGTGAACCGTGGGCAAATCAGTTAACCTCTGAACCTCAGTTTTCCTGTTCACAGGAGATGGAGAATCATACTTAACCTCAGCACATTGCGAGGATTAAGTCAGCCAAGGCGTTTAGAAGCATTTTGTGTGGGGTGGGTTTTAATAACTAAGTTCTCTCTCAAGGCTTTGCAGCTCTCAAGTCAGGGGGGCGGTTCCTTGTTTCAGGTGCCCTCATAAGGACTGATGGGGGAAAAGAACGGGTGTAAAGGAAACCAGTAGGCTGGGTGTGGTGGCTCACACCTGTAATCCCAGCACTCTGCGAGGCCCAGGTGGGCAGATCGCATCACCAGCCTGAGTAACACAGCAAAACCCCATCTCTACAAAAAGTAGAAAAATTAGCCAGTCGTGGCCATGCACACCTGTAGTCCCAGCTCCTCAGGAGGCTGAGGTGGGGAGATCAGTGGAGCTGGGAGGTCGAGGCTGCAGTGAATGGAGATGGCACCACTTGCCCTCCAGCCTGGGCAACAGGGTTTTAAAAAAAAAAAAAAAAAGAAAGAAAACCAGTTTTGGAAAACCAGTGATGTTTAATGTATAGGAAATCAATCTTTGGGAGACTTCATCCAGGAAATCTCTGCTTGGCCTGACCAGAAATTCTCTCTAGTTTAGATTGACTTGGCACCACGTTGGGGACCTGTCAGTCACATGCAGACTTATATCCCCACCACACAATCAATTCACTGATGCAGAGGAGTGCGTTTTGTGTTTCTTCAGGTTCCATGGTTCTGGGCTGGCATTTAGGAACATGAGAGACTGAGTAATTGAATGGAAGAAAGGCAAAACTGCCCTCTAGCTGTAGCGATACATTTTACTTAGAGGCTTTTTATCTGCTTCTGTTGGCGTGTTTCCTAAACAAAGGAATGAACACACAAGATAACACAAGACAAGACAAACATGGTGGCCGCCTCGAATGGCGGGCTCTGCTTTATTTTATTTATACAGTTTGTGGAATGTTGCCAAGTTACAAGACACATTGTTGTTTTTCTGACCTTTCCCTGACTTTCTGGATTTTCAAGATGTTTACACATAAACAAGCCCCCAGGGTCTGCTGTTTGCAGCTGGCTCCTTTGTCCTCCCTGTTTACAGGGAAGGAACGCCCTGCTTCGTTTGCAAGAGCAGGACTTACCGGGAACGCGTTTGCCAGCACATAGTCCTCTACATGCTTCCATGTCTCAGGTCAGGAGTTTTGCTGTAGAGGAAGAGGAGGCTGGTAAGAGCAGGTGGTTTTTATGACTCAGTGATCTGCACGGTGCTTGCTTCTTGGTGAAAGACAGGGCAGGTCCACATCCAATGCTGAGGGGCTGCCATGTGAAAAGCTCACTTGCCTGCAGGCTTGGAAAAAAAACACTTAACACTTGGAGAGGCTACTGTTGCCTGTGGCTAGGGTGAGTGGATTGGAAGGTTAAAAATTACTCTTACTAATGTAATAATTAATTGGCTTTGAGGCCGGGAGAGGCCCTGAAGTGACTCATTTTCCATTTGTTTTTCAGACTCATCTCCAGCTTTTATAGCCTTTCATGATAACTTTCACTTTTGAAATTCTTACCTCCCCTTCTTGGACTTTTGAAGTGATGCTTTCTGTCCCTGAAAAGGGTTGAAGAATATTTTATTTTTTTCTTCTTAGTTTTTTGCTGAGGTAGTGTGGTGAGAGATAATTGTTAACTTGACATTCTTGTAAGGATTCTCCAAAGGTGTGTTATGGTGTGTTTGAGGTTCTGTTGCACACAGGAGCGTTAACCAGCCCCTAGTGTAGTCTAGAAGAAGAGGCAGACGTATGAATACTTCATAAGTGCTATTGATTGATTTATTGATGAGAAGCCAGTTTGTCCTGATCACTTATTTCATTTACTAGATTTTTTTTGGTTTTTTTTGTTTGTTTGTTTTGTTTTTTGAGACGGAGCCTTGTTCTGTCGCCAGGTTGGAGTGCAGTGGCGCAATCTCGGCTCACTGCAACCTCCGACTCCCTGGTTCAAGTGATTCTCCTACGTCAGCCTCCTGAGTAGCTGGGATTACAGGCACCCACCACCATGCCTGGCTAATTTTTGTATTTTTAGTCGAGATGGGTTTTCACCATGTTGGCCAGGATTGTCTTCATCTCCTGACCTCGTGATCTGCCCACCTCGGCCTCCCAAAGTGCTGGGATTACAGGTGTGAGCCACTGTGCCCAGGCCATTTACTAGATTTTTACTTAACATAACATAGAAATGTGTGTAATTGTGCTTGCCTGAAAGAGCAGTCCCTGGAGAAATTCTTACCCTGAGTAGCTCCCCTGGGAGACTATTCAGTATTTCAGTGCTCCAGTGGGCTTCTCTCTCTTCACACCTCCTCTGTCATTCTGCTTTCCCCCCTTTTCTTTCAGTCTTCCTGATTCCCCTTTCCCCATCTCTCTCCTCTCAGTCTTCCTGATTCCCCTTTCCCCATCTCTTTCCTCTCGGTCTTCCTGATTCCCCTTTCCCCATCTCTGTCTCCGTGCTTTTCCCATCTCTCCATGCTTTCTCCCCTCTAGCGTTCCTGTACCTCCCGTTTCCTCTCCTGACCTAGAAAACACATAGTCTTAGAGCTGAAAGGGACTGATTGAGTTCACTGCTCACTGAGAGAAATGAATCTGAGACAGGTCTCAGATTTTTTAGAAAGTTCATTTTGCCAGTTTAAGGATGCGCCCGTGATGCCTCCACAGGAGGTCCTGACAACACGGGCCCAAGGTGGTCGGGGCCCAGCTTGCTTTTACACACTTTAGGGAGGCATGAGACATCGATCAATATGTGTAAGATGTCCATTGGTTCAGTCAGCCCAGAAAGGTGAGACAACTTGAAAAGAAGGTCAGACAGGGGACTTCCAGGTCATAGGCAGGTAAGAGACAAACGGTTTCATTCTTCTGAGTTGCAGGTTACCCTCTCCCAATGAGGCACTCAGATACACATTTCTCTCGGTGAGCAGACAGGTGACTTTGGACAGAATGGGAGGCGGGTTTGCCCTCAGCAGCCCCAGCTTGACTTTTCCCTTTAGCTTAGTGATTTTGGGTCCCCAAGGTTGACTTTCCTTTCACAAGGTCTAACATGTTTTCCTATGAGCATTAGTTATTCATTGTGTATTTTATTGCACAAATGCGGCAGATTTTTTTTAAATCATCAACTCAGACACTTTACCACACACGGGCTCCTCAGGGAACTCAGGGAATCCTCACAAGACTAAAACACCCGCATGGACGGAAGGTGAGGGAAGAAGCCCCAGGGCCGCCCTGGGAAACCTTGAGACACATTGCCGTGGTCCCTGTGAGGCAGAACTGAACCTGGGATTCCATATTAAAGAGGAGTGAAGGGGGCCGCACCTCCCAGCAAAGGAAACCTCCCAGAAATCAAGTGGGGCGGGGATGGAAACATGACTCCCCTGAACACCTGCATCCCAAGCCTGCCTGCCCCTGGAGCTGCACCTCCCACCCGGCTACAGGGGATGGAAACACAGAATGACTCTCCTGAACACCTGCCTGCCCCTGGAGCTGCAGCTCCCACCCCAGCTACCGTCTGGGCATGGGGGTGCACACCTGTAATCCCCACTCTTTGGGAGACTGAGGCAGGACGATTGCTTGAGCCCAGGAATTCCAGACCAGGCCTGGGCAACACAGGGAGACCCTGTCTCTTAAAAGAAACAAGCAAAAACCCGGCTACCTGTACAGCTGGGGAGACCCTGGACCCAAAGAAATGATGCAGACCCTCACATTAAGGCTACACATGGACCCACAAAACAAACAAAAATTACAGAAACATCAAGGTGTTGGTTACTCTGTGTGGGCTTGAGCAGGAAAAACAGTCAGCTATAGACGACCCTCCCAAGGACTTCAAACACACTGTCAAGTAGCTCCACGTCACAAATATCTAGCACTTTTCAATAAAAACATGTTCTTAAAACTGAAGACTATCACATGAAATATTTGAATACGGCTGGGCGTGGTGGCTCAAGCCTGTAATCCCAGCACTTTGGGAGGCTGAGGCAGGCGGATCACAAGGTCAGGATTTCGAGACCAGCCTGGCCAATATGGTGAAACCCCATCTCTACTAAAAATACAAAAATTAGCTGGGAGTGGTGGCAGACGCCTGTAGTCCCAGCTACTCAGGAGGCTAAGGCAGAAGAATTGCTTGAACCCGGGAGGCGGAGGTTGTAGTGAGCTGAGATCAGGCCACTGCACTCCAGCCTGGGAGACAGAGCGAGACTCTGTCTCAAAAAA